TGTTGGTGGCTGTCTTTGCCACCTCAGGAGGACGGGAGGATGGCCCGCCTGGGGAGGAAGCCACAGTTGAGGACAGCGAGAGTGTGTGTAGGAGGAAGGCCGAACAAGCAAGGGGAGTGTCCTGGTGACATCTTTTAGGTGTTCAGATCTAGCCATGCCCAAAGCTAGTTCTCCCTCCTTGTACTTCTGATTTCTGTCACTTGGAACCAAGAGCCCTGACTACAATAGAAGGGGCCAGAAGAGGGTCTGGCTGGGGAGAGAGACAGAAGATTCTGATAAAGTGAGAAAATCCCAGAAGACTTTTTCCAGGCAGGGAGGCAAGATGAGGTGGAGCTGATGCCACCACACAGATGGCAAAGCTTGGGCAGAGACCAAGGAGCCGCAGGCTTGGGCAAGGGATTACGAAAACCTGGCGGTGCCAGGCCCAACCCTGGCATCTACCCACCTGGCACCAGCCTGCCTCTTGTTGGTGACTCTCCTCCCACGGCTCTGCAGATTGTAAAGTTCATCTCTCACTGGATACTTCTTGGCAGAAAGGCAGAGCTGAGATCATTATTTCATTTTGAGGAAAGAGAACATGAGGCTCAGAGACAGGAAGTGACTTGCTCAAGGTCACACAGCAGGTTGGTGGCACAACAGGCCTTTCTCTGCCACCTGTCCCATCTTGGCACCAACACACCACCTTTCCTAGTTGGCAATGGCCTGGGAGTCAAGAGGTGTGAGTGACGGTGGAAAGTCTGCTTCTGACTTGTGGGTGACCTCGGGCAGCCCGCAAACCCTGCTGGGTCTTGGGCTCTTCTTCCATACATAGAAGTCACTGGACTAGATCAGCTCTTTTTTTTTTTGAGACAGAGTCTCGTTCTGTTGCCCGGGCTAGAGTGCCGTGGCGTCATCCTAGCTCACAGCAACCTCAAACTCCTGGGCTCAAGCAATCCCTTCTGCCTCAGCCTCCCGAGTAGCTGGGACTACAGGCATGCGCCACCATGCCCTGCTAATTTTTTATATATATGTATTTTTAGTTGTCCAGCTAATTTCTTTCTGTTTTAGTAGACATGGGGTCTCGCTCTTGCTCAGGCTGGTCTTGAATTTTGAGACAGAGTCTGGCTCTGTTGCCTGGGCTAGAGTGCTGTGGCGTCAGCCTAGCTCACAGCAACCTCAAACTCCTGGGCTCAAGCAATCCCTTCTGCCTCAGCCTCCTGAGTAGCTGGGACTACAGGCATGTGCCACCATGCCCGGCTAATTTTTTCTATATATATTTTTAGTTGTCCAGATAATT